CCCCAAAACCCCAAAACCCCAAAACCCCAAAACCCCATTTAAAAGCTAGAATTGAAAGCTCCTTTAATAATAAACTGTTTTAAAGAACATGGGAATATTCTCTAGTTGTTGCCTTTATAGACAAAAAGATCATGTAGACCTCAGAGAAAGATATCGAGAACAAATAAAAGAGTCAGAGGAAGAAAAATTTGATAGCTTTCTGAGACAAAATAAATTTTCTGAGCATTCTCATTGTAGTAGCCAAGAAAGAACCTTTGATGAAGATGACTCTAAGATTCAATGGGAATTTAAAGATGATAGTTCTGTAGGGCTCATAGTTTATTTATAGGATGACTAAGATTATGAAATTAAGTTGAAGGACATGGATCATAAAGAAAGGGAATTTGAGAGCACTGTAGGTACACAAGAAGAATGAAGATTTTTGAAAGAGTAAGAACACTCATTCACTATTTTTAGAGCAAAGGAAGAATATGAGAATAAAGGTATAATAAACGAGGGATCTGATTGATTCATCAATGCTTCACTTTAGGCTCTGCTTTCAATTCCTGAATTTGTAAAATATTTTTGTGGCAATAATGTCAATATTATTCGAGATAATTTGGAATTAAGCACTTATTTTGATGAAGTTGAAAGAAATGACAAAAGATACTCATCAAGATTAAGACAGTTTATGCTTGAATATTTCTCTCACCAACCAGGGCCTGTAAATAATGAAAGATTCAGAGCACTGTTTGATGGAGAGTATCCTTCTTGAGAGCAGAATGAATCTTTGCAATTTCTTATGCGTTTGTTTGAATTACTTCAATCTTAGAATGATCCCAAATGGCAAAAATTTTGATCTTCTGATTACAATGATGATAAGGAGGCCTGAGAAGGGTATAAAAACAATAACACTTCCATCGTTGATGAGTTGTTCGTAGGAATTTATAAAACAACCTCTGAGTGTAAAGTTTGAAAGACAGGAGTTGAAGCATACAAAGAATTTAAGAGCTATCCATTAGAATGCTATTCTAAGAAAGGAAAGAAAAATTTCCACCATTTCTTCGAAGAACTTGGAGCTGAACACTTTCAGATGATGTGTAAAGTCTGAAATGAAGTAAAAGATTGCAAAACTGCCAAGAAAATCATTAGATATCCCAAATACCTCATTCTTACCTTCCAGAGATTAGATACTTCTATGAATAAAAACATTACTGCTATGATGGATTTCCCTGCAAAATTCACGGTTGAATCCCCAGATAACAACCACATCACCTTCTCTCTTCACAGCTATATCCTTCACTCTGGAACCCTCAATTCCAGCCACTACACAGCCATGTGCAAAAGAGGGTCCTCCTGGTTCCACTTCAACGACTGCCAAGTCACAAAAATCTCAAAGGAGGAAGTTCATAATCCCAATGCATACATTCTGTTCTACAAGCAAGAAGAATAACAGAGAGTTCATGATTCCAATTCTTGATTTCAACCAGAGTCCTCATAAGAGGGGTTTTGGGGTTTTGGGGTTTTGGGGTTTTGGGG